TATATAGGATAATTGAGTAAATTTATATAATTTTATTGATGATTGATTCATACCAAATAATTCATTGCTCGTCAATTGTAGAAAACAACAACAACAACAACAGGTTATAAAAAAGCGAAAATGCAGTAAATGTGTTTGAAGGTCATTAACGAAAAGAAAGTTGCACTTTTGAAAGACATTATTATTTTTATCGGGTGCCAGCTGACTTACTTTTACTTCTTCGATTCAATTCATTTCAAACAAATAAGTTTAAAATTTTCACATTTTGTTTTGTGAATGAATGAATGCATACTGATTGTGATTGTGAGGCCATCATTTTATAGAACAATATGATGATTATTAGACTTCTTACCAATACACCATATAATATTTCGCTCATTGTAATTTCTCTTTCGACTTCTTAGATCGAAGGAAAGTAGAAGGCAGAGATTTCAGTTAATCGACATGAACTGTTTGATTAATTATTTTTTAAATTAATATACAAAAAATCAAAACCCAACATGTTTAAGGGGCACAACTAGTGTAACCGCCTAAAAAAAAAACAGTGATTTTTGGGTATTTATATTTAAAAAACTACTTTAGCAATCATTTCAAAATTTTAGGAATATATTTATACATGCTTTAAGAATACATAGTAAATTTTGAAGAAAAAAATTAATATTTTTTATAAGTTATCGTCGATCTCCAACGGCGCGACAAAAAAGACCCTTCACTGCTACAGTGATTCCGGCCTTCTATGTGGATGAAATTTAAAAGAAAAAATTCTCGTTAAACTAGATAATATTGTCTGTAAAATGAACTACGATGAAAAAAATCAAAAATTGACAAAATGACGGCGTTTTTTTAAAAAAAGTCGAATTTTGCCCAAAATTTTTGGTTGTTTTTTGGACTGCCAAAATTCGATTTGAATCCGATCAAAAAAATCGATAGTTTATTTTACGGAGAACTATATATAGAACATATAAAAAAATTGATAGTGATCGGATTATTTGTTTTTGAGTAATCGCTGCAGCAAATTCGGAAAATGCTGTTTCGAGAAAAACGCGTTTAAAGATTGAATAATCGTATACTGTATACTATATATATACTATTTAAATGGCTGTGACTCAAAAACTATTTAAGATATCGATTTAAAATTTTGGTATATTATTTTTAAAGGTATAGCCTATCGAAACATGGAAAAATTGAAAATTCGATTAAGGAATTCTAAACTAATATATTAGATATTATATTAGGATAATATGCTCATTAGATTATTAGCCAATATCACTTATAAATATAAATTAAAATATGTTTATAAGAAAAAAAGCTATACACAACAAATTGCAGTATTACGTTAATCTTGATAGATAAAAATTTAATGAAAAAAATATATCTATTATAATCTCTATATAAAATTGTAATTACTAAAAAAGCATACGACTTAAATTCTGATCTTTATTCCAAAACATAAAAAATATATTGTTGCACACGTCATTTGTTTATTAGCAGTCAATTTTATGTTTTTTATAATTACTTTTAAGAACTCACAGTGATGAGTCAAGTAAAACCTCGACCGCTCGCAGAATTGAATAAAAACTTAAATGAGGACTTTTTTATGCAGTAAAGTAAAGAACAAATGTGTTTCAATAAATATATTGAAGTTGGATTTAATTCATAGATAAAGTAAGTATAAACAGATCGCATACAAGGTCACTTTGCCATCACCTTAATTTTAATAGTTTCCGCACTCCTTAGAAGCGACACTAACTGTAGCACGTAAATTTACGCCTAAGTTCATTTCTAGATAAGATTCATTTAAATATAGAATAAAGAAAAGATATACGTGATTAATTTAAAAAAATGAAACGCGACCAAATTCTACGTAATACAAATGACACATCACTCAATAAGTCCGTAGGATAACTAAGAAAAACCCAATTTTTGGCAATATTCTTTTTTCTTATTCAATATATTATAGTTTCCTCCGAGGACTTTGCCACAAAATTCGGCGATCAAATACCTTCATTTTGACAAAAATTTCTTTACGTTGAAGAACAGATCGAGAGAATACAGTGAGTTGGAAAGTCCAATTTCATGTTTTTTACCACTGTTTTCATGGATTGGTAATTTGGTGCGTTGTCCTGATGAAGCAGCACTTTTTTTCGAATGGTGCCGTTTTTTCGATTTCTATCATCAACTGCTCCAAAAATATTATACAATAGTCACTGTTGATGGTCGGGCCTTTCTCAAGATAGTTGATGAAGATCATTACTTGCGAATCCCAAAAAACTAACGCCATATCCTTGCCCTGGCGGATCCTTTCTTGCTACTCGACTTCGGAGTGTAGTGGTGAAACCACATCCATGGTAACATATTGATGCAAAAACTCAGTTTTATTTCGATCAAACAGCTCCAAATACTCAATTCTTATGAATCATCAACTCGTTATGCTTTTGGTGAAATGAAATATATGTCCAACACGTTCTATTGATATTTTCAGGGTGTTAGCTATCTCAGGCAATTTTACTTTTCGGTTTTCCAAAACGATTCGGTGAACTTTTCTATGTTTTCCGGTGTAACCACCACAATTGGCCTTCCAGAGAGTTCAGCATCGTCAGTGTCTTTATGGCCACGAATAAAATCAGCAAATCACTTCTCCACCATTTGGCCAGATTTGACAGAGTCCAAATAGCACCTATCAAGCCATAATTTAGCTTTGATGATATTTTTACCCATCAAAAAAAGCAATGGTAAATCAACACACGAAATTGCCGTGAAAAAGTGATATTGATTAATAGATCCTAATTGCAGAAAAATCCTGATAATGGAACGTACTGTGTTACGAAATATCGTCAATTAAACATAAAAAACTGTTAAAAAATTGTTATTTAATTTATTTATTGAATTAAGCTTCGTCATTTCATTTCGTCACAAAATAATTTCGTCACAAAATAATTAAGCTTCGTCATTTCATTTCGTCACAAAATAATAAAAATTCAATGTTTACAAAATAATTATCCATTAGCTTCCGAATGAGAAGTTTACGTTTTCGCCAGAAAATCCGTTTTTCTAATTTTGATATTATCTAACATCAATACTTGCCTGTCCAGGTGCGAGAACGAGACAAAATTTTAGTGCGGGATAAAGAAAGAACGTGGCACACAACTTAAGATCTCACTTTCACTTATTCACACAGACACCAGCACACAAAATAACAAAATAACCAGATCCATACATACATACATACATCACCCACACAAACACATTCCGTCCACACACACACATCAATCGGTAAAAGTGTATAAATATCACCTGCCGCCAATTACTTGGCTTTGGCAGTGTACGGCCAGATGCCGGAGTGAAAACATCTCGCCAAACAAAAATAATAATTGATTGATTTTTGTTCATTTCAATTGTTTTTTTGAGAAATTTTGAGTTTTACTTTGCGCCACCCTAGCAGAGATGGCGCGATTGGCGCGGTTCCTTTGTCTGCTGATGACAGTCTGTGTATTGACTGGATCAGGTTAGTAAAAAAAAAGTAAAATACATATGCGATAAATATATATATATATATATATATATATGTATATATATATATATATACATAAAATATTCATCCAGTGAAATAATATTTTTTGGATATTCTACTAAATTTTTGAAGACCATTCCAATACAAGTCTCTAAAATGTATCATTCTTATTTTTTTACTTTAATAATTTTACCAAGTTACTACTTACGAATTTAATTCAATATTTTTATGATATTATTTGTATATGGAAATGGAACTAAATAGAATATTCAATTATTTTTCTTTTAAATTTTTATTATTTAGTAGAAAGATTTTTAATAAATTATTTTATTTTATTTATATTGAGAATTTTATTTATATTGAGATTACTATATATAGTAGCATTATGGATAGAGTTTTGATATTGCATAAAATATTCTAGCAAAAATATAAACTTAATGCATATATATATATATATATGTGTGTGTGTGTGTGTGTGTATTTGAATATCTGCATGCATGTAATTTTACTACAAAACCGGTATTTTTCATATAAACTTCATTATTATTTGCATATAAGTTAGCGTCGACCTTTAAAACAAAAGACCGTAAATAGAATGTAAGAATCATCTTAATAATAATACTAAAATATACACAATTGACTGTGTAAATTTCAAATTGCGACAAAAATAAAAATTAAATTATTTATTGAATTGAACTTCGAAGTTTTCTCAAAACTATAGAGAGCAGAAAGCTTTAAATATGCTATACTAACTATAAAATGTATAAAAAATATATGTTGATGATAAAAATTGGCCTAGAATAAAAAAACAAGTAAAATCGAACCTAACAAACTAAAAACATAGATGCTCGTATAATTTTAATAGAATTAAGACAAAATATAATGGTTTATTCTGGTAATTGTTAAATATATGGCTTAATTTTATGCCATACGTAATGATGAAATAATGTAATAAAATAATACAGATTATTAAAAAATTTAATGTTATATTCTAAGAAAAAGTCTTTGGTAAGTTTTAGTATTTACTATATTTTTTTATATAATTTCGCTATTTTAAAACTTCGTAACGTTTTGGATTAATTTCATTTTTCCATTTGTGACAAATTTCGAGGACACTTTAATTATTCAAATTTTTCACTTAAGTCGTGATATTTGATAAAATAATTTCAAATGATGTTACTTTCTTGTACGATCTCAAATGCCATAATAAAAATTTATAAAATGATTTTTGTCTTGGGCAATAGGCCTGATGGTTAAGTTAAAGCAACGTCTTATAACTTCCTTATTTAATTTCCATCGATGCATATATATATCTATTAACAATTATATTATTCTGATGATGAAATGTCGAGACGTGTGTCACTGATTTGACATTTGAATGCTGATGGTGTGTGAGCTTTCGTCAAATGTCAGAGGCCAAATGTCGATGAAAACACCACGAAATGCCACAGGTGACAACATGGGTGTGTGGTGTGTGGATTAGATAACTGACGAGGTTTTTTTCTAATCGATCTCAGCGATTCTCAAACTTCACTTTAGACAAATATTTTGATTTACTTGCGCCTTTGAACGAATGAAATATTTCGTGTTTTATTTAAGGGGCACAACTAGTGTTTCCATATTTCGATAGGCTATTCGTTATACCTTTAAAAATAACATACCAAAATTTTAAATCGATACCTTAAATAGTTTTTGAGTTACAGCCATTTAAAGAGTATCTATATAGTATTATATAGTATAACGATCATTTAATCTTTAAACGCGTTTTTCTCGAAACAGCATTTTCCGAATTTGCTGCAGCGATTAGTCAAAAACAAATGATCCGATCACTATCTATTTTTTTACATGTTCTATATATAGTTCTCCGTAAAATAAACTATCAATTTTTTGATCGGATCAAAAGTCGAATTTTGGCGGTAAAATTCGACTTTTTTTTAAAAAAACTCCGTCATTTTGTCGATTTTTGATTTTTTTTATCGTAGTTCATTTTACAGACAATATTACCTAGTTTAGCGAGAATTTTTTCTTTTAAATTTCATCCACGTAGAAGGCCGGAATCACTGCAGCAGTGAAGGGCCTTTTTTTGTCGCGCCGTTGGAGATCGACGATAACTCAAAAAATATTTAATTTTTTTCTCCAAAAATTTTACTATGTATTCTTAAAACATGCATAAATATATTCCTAAAATTTTGAATTGATTGATAAAGTAGTTGTTTCAATATAAATTTCCAAAATTCACCAATTTTTTAGGCGGTCACACTAGTTGTGCCCCTTAATGTATTTATGTTATATACTGCTCTTCAGTATTTTATTAATTTACAAAAACTTTTTTTTGTTGATGACGAATTTAAGAAATAAATGGTAGTGCTGATTACATATATCTAGCAAATTATCAAAAGAAAAAAACTGAGATTTTATTTTTTAATAAATCTTGACGTTTAGAATGTTCATTTGACTTATCCTCTAATGCGAATACATATACATAGTTTAAAAAAAACTATTTCAGCTATCAATATAATAAACATATTAGTGAAATAAAAACAATTTTTGAAAACATGAAAATTAGCAATTATTTATTACGAATATGAATAAATATTTCCAGTTCATAAATATGCTTGTTATACACTCCTTAGATTATCTTTATGAATGTTTTGTGTTTTTTTTAAATTTTTACATAATTTGTATGTATTCACACTAGACAAATGAGAATTGAAAACGTTTGTAGAGCCCTGTGCACACGACGCCAGTATTTCTTGTAATATTTTCTGTCGAACGTTTATCGTTTTTGAACGTAAAATATGTCTATAGCATTTTATTATTTTTTATTTTAATTTTTGTATTTAATTCTTATAAATAAAACATAAGATCATCACATAGATTTATCCTAGCACATATATGTTTTATGTTTACATTCCAATAAAATAGTTTCTTTGTACACCTTATGATATAAATTTGACAGAAAATATGTCACAATAAATACTGGCGTCGTGTGCACCGGGCTTAATTTTGTAAAAAATCACAACTTTTTATGTATTCATCATATATATAAAATATCTTAAATATCGAAAGTTTCTTTATCATTTTTATTCTAAATTTACAATTATTCGAATTCATTTACTACATAAATTCGCCTAGAAATAAATCTAAACCGAACTCAGTTTTTTTTTGTCTTTTTGATGATTGGATAGATGTCTCATAAATACGAACTTTGTTTATATATATATATATATATATATATATATATGAAGTTTCTAAAAAATCATGTTTTCTTCTAAATTTAAAAATATTCGAATCTATTCACACAAATTTGCCTGGAGAGCAATATACACGAGAATTGCATTAGATTCTGTCAATATTTAACTATTATGATTATCATGATTTTTTCTATTTCATTTATTGATTACGATCAAATCGACCTTTGTTTGTCTTAAGACGTTGTATGATTTTTCAATTTTTCTCTGAATATAAAAAAATCGACTTTAATTACAGAAATGTCTAAAAAGCAATATATATGTAATCGAGAGCGCTGCATTCTTGCCTTAGATTCTGTTAATATTTGATTATTATAGAAATTTTCTCTATTTTGATGTATCTCTTTCGATCGAATCGATCTTTTTCGCCTTCGAACGTCCAACAAACAATAATAACTTTCATATTGCACTGCGCCGTCCATGGCCATAAAAATTAATCGCATGCACATTGGCTCACTTAATAATATTATTATATATTCATAACATAAATGAAATCTAAAAGCTTCTAGAGTGCCATTAAATATATTATGTATTTAATGACATCATGATTAATTAAGTTATGCAAAAAGCCTGCTTAAAAGACTCAACCTTGTCATTCTATTATAATAAAAATAATAGTATATAATTAGTAAGTAAGGACCTAGAGACTATTCTCTGCCATATCAGGAGTAGGTTAGGAAAATATAAAATTTCTGCATATATCATGTCACCATAAAACAAAAAAAACGTATCAAAATTGTTCCACTCATTTTAAAACAACTATTAGAAAATTCATAATTCAATCAAGTTAAAATTTGAAGTTCTATATAATTTTCGCTTGTTATGGAATATTTGATACAGAAAAATATATATTTTGTTTCGAATAGTCTTCTAAATATAAATCTAGATAAATAACTGGACATTAAGTTTTTTTTGCTTACAGAAGACCATATATATAAAAATATATATTTTATCTAAAATATATCTAAAGATTCTAGATAAAAATCTGTATAATTAACTAAATTTAGTGCAATAAGATACATATTCGAAATTTTTAAGTATCTTAAATTTTCTTTGCTATTGCTAGTTGAAGAAAAAACGTATGGCGATAATAATACCATAAGTCAAATTATAAAAAAATGTTAAACGGCTATGAATAAATATATATGTTTGCCTGCATGAGTACATAATGAAAGTGCAATAGTTTGGAAAGTTGAGAGCAAAAACTGGATGCCAAACCACATTATCATATTGTTAATTTTATATGTATATATATGAGCTCAGTGTGTACGCATGCAAAAAATTAACAATTTGCATAACTTATAATGTCGGGCCACTTTGTGACTTCCTCTTATGAAATCATAAGCAAGCCACATCGAATAATTTCAAAATTGATATTAATAATAAATATATTATTTTTCTTTCATCTAGTTTGGTCTGAAATTCGAGTGAAGCGACAGGACGAGGACGAAGGTCCGGATTCGAGCCCGGAGGAATTATGTGCAGACAGGCCGGCCGATGAATATTTCAGGTTGACCACGGAAGGAGACTGCAGGGAAGTCGTCAGGTGAGAAGGCTCAATAAATAATTAATAGGCAAAAATACAATATTTAAGAACTACTCTCTCCTTTAACGAAGAGAGATTATTAATTCCGCAAAGGAGAGCGTGATGTTTTTACTAGAGAATTCTATTTGCATTACCTCAATTTTAATAAAGCCCATTTGTTCTAAGTTATTGTCTTTTGTCATTTTTGACTATCTGAATATATTCAAGTTTATAAAAGTATAACAAAGTTTTTGTATTTTTAAACTCTATCGGTAAAACCGAATAAAACAGATCGATCTACCATTGGGTTGCCTAAAAATAGCAACGTTATTGAAAAGTCATCGCTACAATCTTATAGGACTGTTAAATTCTAATTGATGTTATTAATGATAATAATTTCGTCAAAAAATAACAGGCCAATCGTAATCCTAATTATCAGAGCGATTAGTTATTCGATACAAGCCTAGGACGTAGTGACAACGGTTTTTACTAGAAAATATTGATAGCAAAAGAAAACTAGTGGTGTATGGCATCGTGCCTTAAGGCAAATTGCTGGAACTTCCCGTACCGTAACGAAATTTTCGAGAAATTTTAAACGTTTTCAAATATATTATTACAAATACTGTAACTTTCAATATTTTTGCTATCTTGTTATATCTGAGCAAATCAAATGTAAATCATAAAACAATTTATCTCCAGAACATTAGCAATCCTCATTTCGTTTCGAATTCAACTTCAAAAAAATAGTTGCCTAATTTACACAAAATTGAAAAAGTGCTCCCGCGCAGTCACAGTCTAAACGCATTTGCAAACAATTTTGTGCGACATTTTCACTCATACTGTGCTTAGCTTGGCGGCATTTTCACATTTTTCAATAGTTTTCTCAAAACTGGAAAAGTGCTCCAGTACATAGACAGTCTAAACGCACTTGGGTAAACATTTGTACCAGAGTGGCGCTTAGGCTGTGCTTAGCCTGGGTGATTTTTTGAATTTTTAATCCAAAATTACAAAAAATATTTATCGAAAAAAAATAGAAACAATTTTTTTTTGCGAAAGCATTTATTTTGTTGAAACAAGCAGAAAGTTCTTTGAATCATTTAAATCGTACGCTTAGTTCTCTCAAAAACTGCCATTTTTTTAACATTTAGCCAAAGACTAATAACCACTTTTCCCAGTCATTACGAACTGAATGTTTTTTGAATCATACAAATCGGATGTTCTCTCAAAAACTCGAATTCTATTTTCTGCACTCTTTGCTCCATATCTCCGTAACGGCTGGACCTACTTTTGCCAAAAACTAATCAGCACATCTCCCTATTAATAGGGATTGAATGTTTTTTACACCATTCAAATCGGTTGATCCGTGCGCCCGAAAACGTGGACGAAAAAATGCAGACATACAAAACACACACACACATTATTTTTTCTGAAGTATGCCAAAATGTTCAGAAACCTTCAAAACGTCGAGAAATGCAAAAATTTTCATTTTCGATTTTCGGCCCATTACTATAATTACCCTACGGGAAGTTAATTATACTGTATACAATAAAAAATCATCTGTATTGGAGTTATTTGAATAATTTCGTCAAAAAGCGCAATAGCCATGTTATTAAGAGGCCACACACACACACATAGCCATCTTATTGGACTATTAAAAGTTCTTATTGCTGTTATTAAAGATAATAAAGAAAACGATCAGTTATTTTATAAAGAAGTATTTATTATATAAGGTGCGACAGCGGCGCCGAGAACGGGGTCACCAGGTTGGCCCAAGTCAAATGCCCGGGCGGCCTGGCCTTCGACGTGATCAGACAGACTTGCGACTGGAAGTCGAATGTCAAAAACTGTGATCAATTGGAAAGTAAGATGAAAATTGGCCAACGGAAATTTAACAATAACAAACAATCATTCCAATTATATTATTATCATTGACTGATTTCTTCTTCTACTGGACAAATTGTGCCTCTAAAGTTTATATGTTTACTTTCTTTCTAAATGTGCATCGTTGTGAATTTATATTGTATTTATTCTTATTAATCGCAGTTGAAACAAAGCACGAGAAAAAACACATTATTGAAATAAAATTTAGTTTTTTTTATTTACCTTAATCGTGAGTACATTTTCTTCAATAAAGAGCAATGTAGCTTAAACAGGGTATCCTAGAACTCAAAGTCAAGTCAAAACAGGGCGAAAGGATTGATTGTAACAATCATAGTTTAATAAATAGTCTTAATTCTAGAAAACTTGGTGCAATTTTGAAATTATTATGCCTGTGCTTCTAAAAAAATACGGATCCAAAGTGTGAATAAACAAAAATGATGAAAATCAATCAAAATAACCGAAAAATAGTCACGTGATCACGTAAAAACTCAACTTTCGAACAGCGAATTTCGAATATTTTTTTTGTAATTTTTTTCATGATTCATAAGTTACAATCAATACTGTCATCACCCCTTTTCAGCTTGACATTGAGTTCTAGGCCACTCTGTATACAAACTTTGTATGTAAAATATACTATTTCAATTCTAAGAATAATGCTGAAAATGTACCAAAGGCAATTTTAATAATAAATTAAGAATCTGCTTTGTTTCAAATGTGTTTCGTATATAAATATAGTTATATGTTGGTGACTAACAAATTCGTATTTGTCTCTCTTCTATTCTCGCTCTGTTCTATCTCTTGGTCGTTTCTTCTTCTACATTTGTACCTTTATCGACGACTTCAATGATACACAACGAACGAAAAATGATTTTAATCATCGTCAACCCAAGATGTACCAAGTCAGGACTGAAGCAGATCACTTGCCCCTCCGGACTGGCCTTCGACGTGGACAAGCAGACATGCGACTGGAAGGGCAAAGTCAGCAACTGCGACAAACTGGAGAGTAAGTGATCACTTTCAAACTAAACATAAACACCAACATCATAAGACACACGACGTACGAACCAAGTCAACGACACGAACCACGAACAAACCAAGTCGAACTATTCTCTTCCAACTTTATTTCATAATTATCATACATCTCCACTATTCTTGAATGCATGGAACTTTTGCATTGTATTTAATATGTCGTAATCATACCATTATTAAATTAACAAAATGTCAAATCCTAATCGCAACCCTATTAGCATAGCACATTTTATGTAACAAATAAAAAAATGTCCTTCGGTTTTATTAAGAAGAAACAGTTTCATTACCATCAGCTTTTATAACAAATGAAATACAATCCATTCAATTTATAATACTATTACCATTACAGAACCTAGGAAGGTTCTGCCCATATTCAAGACTGACGAACCAGTTTGTCCAGAAGGCAAACTGTCCTGTGGAAACGGGGAATGTGTTGACAAAGAACTGTTCTGTAATGGCAAACCCGATTGCAAAGATGAATCTGACGAAAATGCTTGCAGTAAGTTTAAATAAAGCAATAAATAAATATCATGTATATTAATTTTTCTGTCTATTTTAGCCGTTGACTCAGATCCCAACAGAGCACCAGATTGTGATCCAACCCAATGCGTTTTGCCAGACTGTTTCTGTTCAGCTGATGGTACTAGAATTCCTGGCAACATCGAAGCAAACCAAGTAAACCTACATCCAATATTGACTTCCAACTATTAATAAAATTTGTCAGTAAACAACTACTTCTTTCATAGGTTCCACAAATGGTGACAATTACATTCAACGGAGCAGTCAATGTAGACAACATTGATCTGTATGAGGAAATCTTCAATGGACAAAGACAAAATCCAAATGGTTGCCAAATCAGAGGTACTTTCTTCGTTTCCCACAAATACACAAATTACTCAGCTGTACAAGATTTGCACAGGAAAGGACATGAAATCTCAGGTAAAATTCAAAACATATATATAGCAAAACTACTTGCAAACTACGATTTTGTAATTAAATTTCAATATTTTTTTTCAGTGTTTTCATTGACCCACAAAGATGACCCACAATATTGGACAGGAGGTTCATATGATGACTGGTTAGCCGAAATGGCTGGTGCCAGGTTGATCGTTGAACGATTTGCTAACATTACTGATGGTTCCATTATTGGTATGATAAACAAAAATTTTAAATTTTAAAGTTATAGTCATAGCAAAAAAAAAACTAACATACTTGTCAAAATAAAAAAAAATTATGATTTATATTATAAATTATAGGTATGAGGGCACCTTACTTGAGAGTGGGAGGTAACAAACAGTTTGAAATGATGAGCGACCAATTCTTTGTGTACGATGCCTCTATCACAGCATCTTTAGGGCGTGTGCCAATTTGGCCTTACACTCTATACTTCAGAATGCCCCACAAATGCAACGGCAATGCACACAATTGTCCATCTAGAAGTCATCCAGTTTGGGAAATGGTTATGAACGAATTAGATAGAAGGTATGAACCATTTCAATTGTAATACAGTAATAATAAGTTCAAAACTAAATCAACTGTTTTTATTCTCAGAGATGATCCCACTTTTGACGAGTCTCTCCCCGGTTGTCACATGGTAGACTCTTGCAGTAATATCCAAACTGGTGAACAATTTGCTCGTCTGCTCAGACACAACTTCAACCGTCATTTCAACAGCAACCGTGCCCCATTAGGGCTCCATTTCCACGCATCGTGGCTCAAATCTAAGAAGGAATTCAAAGAAGAACTTATCAAATTCATCGAAGAAATGTTAGGCAGAAACGAAGTCTATTTCACAACAATGTTACAAGTTATACAGTGGATGCAGAATCCAACAGAATTAACTGCTCTGAGAGACTTCCAAGAATGGAAGGAGAAATGCGACGTCAAAGGGCAACCTTACTGTTCATTGCCAAACGCGTGCCCCCTGACGACTCGGGAACTCCCGGGCGAAACTTTGAGACTGTTCACTTGCATGGAGTGCCCAAATAATTACCCTTGGATATTAGATCCTACAGGAGACGGTTTCTCCGTTAGGAAGTAGACAAAAAACAATTTCCTAGAGATACTAATTTATAAGTACATTAATTTTTAGCAGATCAACAATGCCTTTCGGCAATTAATTTGAGACCGAATATCAGATGATGTCGGTCAATACATTTTGTAAATAATTTAAAATTCTCAACTTAGAAACTTATGAAAATATTATACTCATTACACAAATACAGATTGTAAGTATAATTTGAAATCCATATTCATATCTAGTCTAAGTTACAGTGGAGATTTCTTATTATTGGATCAAATCAAATTTCATTCTGATGTACGAGTATAAGCTGTGTGATATGTTTTCTTATCATTTTTGTATAAATAAATGCGAGATAGAAACTTTCTATCGAAATAAAATACTTAAAAACAAGTACGTTGTTTATATTCAAACATATTACGCACGTCTACGTGAAGTCAGAACGACTATTTACATACATCGCAAAAATTTTAACAATAATAATCATGAATATAGATTTTCATTACAATGTAACTAATAAAAATGGATACTAAAAATTAAATATCACTAACCTTTTATCAAGATAACATGCGCACAACCTACAAACGGCGTTGCCGGTTGAATATGGAATAATTGTGCAATACATTGACGCCATATATTGTGTCCTTCTCATCATCCTGGATATTTTCACAAAATCGCCCGAAAGCACAATTTCACTTGATACATATTACAAAAGTCATCACATTTAAACGTAAAACATTCATTTTCTATTTAGCCGGCTCGTATGAACGCCATGAGGCCGTGACACAATTTACGTCTCGCTTGTAAGTGATTTCTGATTGGCTAAGGACTTTATGGGGTTACAACCTGCTCAAAAAATTATCCGTTAATAACCGTTAAAATCCTTAACGGATTATTTTTCTTACAAATTGAATGCTCTTTTAAAAAAAAAAAACTAACGCACACGTTATATAAAAAATATTGTATTAAAAGTTTAAATTTAAAATATGAGTAATATGGATACATATTATGGCATTCAATGAATAATAGTAGCAGTATATTATTGTTAGAGCTCATGCATAATACATTGTAGGTTCATTCATAATTATTTATTGTGTTATTTTAATTTCACTGTCTGAATTTATTACAGTCTTCATAAAGTACTATAGTGAAAAATATGTAAAAACTCCTTTTATAATTGTTACATAATTTTCTAGATATCACGGTTTAATGCAGTAATAAACAATTTATGGTGACGTAAATGCTGCACATAACTTCTAGATTAATTATATATATTCACATGTAGTGATGTTTATGTTTCCTATAATTTCAATTATATTATATCTAAGCTTGAACAATAAAATATTTCATATATCATAAATAAAATATATTTCTACAAATACATTATTTGAAAAACTAAATACTAATTTGAGAACTAATAATTATTATTAATACACTCACAAACAGAAAACAATATAGTAATAAATTTAAATAAATTATAATACTGAAAAAGATCTTGGTATTCTAATATTTACAAATCAAGGGAAAAGTGCTAATTCAAGCAATGAAATTAGATTAAAGACTAAGTAATCAATCAGTAAAATCATTCTACTGCTCAAAATGCAAAAATTCTTCACAGTTCTAGTTATGAACTCCTAGTGTCGCAACTTTAAAAGAATCTAGCAACAATGTCCTCAATTACCTCTGGAATTTCATTGTCTTGTGTTTCGTTGATTTCAGGATTTGGATAAATGGCTTGATGAGCATGTACAATATCCTCCCACCATTGATGTGCCTCTTTACTGAAAATAGCAATGTCAGAACATGTTCTGAAATTTTCTTGTTCTTGTCCACAACCCAATTTTCCTTCTCCGGATGGACAGATTCCCCAAGAATTACCTACAGAACAGATGAAATCATTATGAACTGATCCTATTTATTATGCAATAAGCAAATTATTATTATTTTTAGTTCCTTTACCTGTGATGTATGTCCATTGAACCACAAATGTCTGCAAGTAACATCTTCCGGTAGTTGTAAAGTGGCATTGTACCAGCCAACCTCGCTTGTGGGTACAGGCAGACGATCCTCACCAGTAGTAAGATTGAGAGGATATGCAGCAAAACATTCCTCTGATTCTTCTCCCCAAACATCTACTGGACAGAGAGCAAATTTGAAGTATCCTAGATGATTGGCAGTCAACATTACTCCTACAGGCATTTGTCCGCCTTGGAGATACCTGGGGAATAGATAACTAAATTTAATAAAAGATTGAGTAAACAATAAAGGGGCATCATAGGTTAAATAATCATTAAATAATTAAATAAATGTTTGTTTAACGAAATATTTAGTCTTATCTTATGATTGCTGAACTTACTTCTTCTGGGAACTTTTCCAAAATCGTACATGCCTCCCAATTCACTAGGCCTCGGCCTGGGAAGAGCGTAATCATCACCACAAATTCCACATTTACCACCATTTAGTTCCCATTGTACCTGTTGACAAACAAATAATATAATTTAGTCAATATTAAACTTATTTTGACTAATTATTGTTTGTAACATATAATATATAATCAAATTGTATGCCATATGAGCAATTACGTTGACATAAATTAAAGTAAATGTAAGTATATTATATAATTAGTAAAAATTAATCAATATTTGTATGTCTATTATACAGTCAAAGATAAAATAAAATTTTCATTGCAAATGTATACGATTCGATAACGCGCATCTAAATAATGGCAGAATTTTTTTTTAAATTTAAATATATTTAATTAATAGTAATAATATTGTCAGAATAATTTTTAATATTTTTATATATACTAGTATAGTGAATAATTTAGTATCCTATCAGTAACAATTACTGCTACATATTATATATATATATATATATATATATATATATATAATATACTAATATTGTATAATAATTTTTAATTCATTATTTTTATAAATAATGTTATGATATAATATTATTTTTACAATACGTAGCAGTAAAACAGAGGTAATAAAAAAAACAATGAATTATTTAACTATTTTTATGTATGAACGTTTGAACGCTGCATTTGTGTCATAAATTTTAATTTTTGAATGAAGATCGTTTTCTTGGCAAAAGTCCTGAAGATGGAACATGCATAGTTCAGAAACGTAATAGAAAAAAAAACTTTTGAACTGAATTTCTTGTATCAACAAAATATATATATTAATTGATTTTTAATTTATAATTAGTTCTACGTTTCTGAGATATGGAATGTCTCATTCTTCAGAAACTTTTAAAATAAGCAAAAAAAATCGCACGCGTTTTCTGTAAAATGTAAGGAACAAAAACATAAAAATAATTACATATAAAAAAAAAACTTGAATAAAATTTTGTTTGAAATTAATTAAGATTTATTTTTCTGTATCTATAAATCAGATCTATCTTAATATATAAATGCGTGTATATCGCTTCTAAAGATAACAAAATCTCCATGTTATTCTTAATCACCAAAATCACATCGAATTTTAGACTTTGAAATTTTAATTCCCGTTATTAACTTCTTGTTATCAATAGGCCACTTGTTGTTTTTGATAATTCATGTAATTTGAAAATCGCACTTAGCGCGTGTCCATAACAAGATAACAAAAATCGTAGAAATAGAAATAATAGAAATTTTTGATAAAAAAATCAACTGTATAATAATGAACTACTCCGGAGTAAAAATCACTAGATTAGCATACGATTAAGGCATTATAAGGGCTACTAAAAAAAATTGCATATGTTCCATAATGATATAGACGCAGAATTTATTATGAATTATTTATAATATATATATATATATATATATAT